CTTTAAAAGTTTTGTCCGATCATTTTCACTTGACTGAAATCTCGGCCAAATTATGCTTTTTTATAGAAATAAAATGAAATTTGATCGATGATTTGAAAACAGAATAACGGCAGTGCAATAAGTTGAAGATGTTTATTCGGTTTCGCTGAAATGTTTCACACTGAGAAGTAGTTTGAAGGGTAGTAGCTTGAAGAGATGGTTAATGTTGTGGAACGTGAATCGTATATTCGCTCGAATGTGTTCGAAAACGTACGAAGAGAAATGAATAAAATCGTTTTGAGGTGAAGCTGAATGTGATCCAATGCGCGATACTGCTGGGCATAGGTCTGCAGCACAAAACCGTTGATGATTTGATCAAGGAGTTGGATATACCGACAAACCAAGTGCTGGCTTTATTCAATAAGTCAATCCGTAAAATGAGTGAATATTTGGATGGCATTTGTATGCAAAATATTAGCAATAAAATATTCGTCAATAACAACTCGTCACAACAAGTTGAGGGTGCAAGTACAAGTGGTGCGTCGATGCAACCGACAGCGATTTCGCTTGAGGTTTCAGTTTTTCGTTTTCGTGTTTATTCTGATTTGAAAACGAAGGGATAATCGGTTGATCGGGTCTTGTTTTTGTTTTTGTTTTTTTTTTCAATTCTCTCTTATAGAGTTTGATAGAAAGTTTAAATTTAAGTTTTCAAAATGGACTGAATAATGTTTGAACATTTTTCGTCATCAGTAGTGATTGATAGTTTCGTGTTGAATGATATTCATGAAAATCGCTTCGTTTTTTATTTGAATTTTTCCAATAAGAGAGAACAAATTACTAATCGATGTGATGATATGGTGTTTAATTCATTTCATTTTTTTAAAAAATGTTTAATGGGTTTGTTGCGATATTGCAACTTTCACATTGAAATCTCATTCTAATTTGAGCATTTCGAATGCTCCTTCTACTGGCGCTCTGAATAGATAGTGAAGGGTGTCGGTGATTGTGTTCGTTCGATGCTCTTATTGAGTAATTATGGATGAGTTGCTTGAATGAACGGAATGAGTTACAGGAAGACTT